AAATCTGGTTTGGTTGTGCCTATGTGCTTGTCTGTGATATTATTTGCTTGCTCAAGCCTCGTAGAATACATGCTATGGACACCTGCAAGTTTTTTTAAAGGGGCGGTGCAACAGTTTGCGGACTTTGGCTAATTAATTGCGGGAATTGATCCCGGCCACATATGAAACGAAGGACCGAAAACCATTGTTTCCTACTTGCCATAGTTTTCATTAAAAAAAAAGAAAAAAATTGCTATCTCCGGCACCCCTCAACTCAACATTGAAGCGGCACCAGCTTCGCCTGTGACGTCATTCGGAGTGGCGTTGGTTTCCGGTTGGGTTCTTCTGGCTTCCGTTTCCCCAACGCTCGCCGGCTCGCCAGGCTCGCCGCTCTCCCGCCGATTCCCGACCAACATGGCGGCATGGGCGGACAGCCTGAGCGACGTCGAGCGCAAGATGCTTGCGACGCGGCGGGCAGTCGAAGTCGAAGTCGAGGTCGAGACACCAGGAACAATAACGATACCACGATACTACAGACCACGACCAACGCACTCCGTCGAGCGAGGGAAAGACAAAACGTCCGGGTTGCTCGTGTAGCCGCCGTAGGCGCCTCGGGCGTCGACGGATGACGGCGACGGCCGGTTTGGTTGACTTGCGGTAGATGGCGCCACAAATAATTCATACCCTTTTAGCGGCAATATTAGGCTTTTGAAGCATTTCTGCATGCCTAAACAACAAGATTTTTTAAAACTTAACCTTAAATCAAGCTTAGAAATGCCTAACACTATCACTTACAAAAACCACTCCGAATGACGTCACACCACAGGTTCCATTTGCAGTCACCATGTGGCCGCAGGTTGGGAAAAAAAGTGTTTTTTATTTTGCGATTACGCAGCGAAATAGAGGTATTTTGGGGTATGGTGGCACTTTTTCTCTTTCTTATGCCGAAGTAAAAAATATAAAAAATACAAGCTGCACATTCGTTCAGTGTTAAAATCATTGCACCGCCCCTTTAAAGGTAAGAAATACCCCATTTACTACTCCAGCTTCCCATGTGAATGCTTGAAGCTGTTAGACATTAATATACTATGTTTAAGTTTACATATCATTTTTTTTCGATTATCAGCACTGTTGTTCAGATTCACTTTGGAAACAAATTTTAAAACTTGTGTAGCATTAAAGATGACGCACACCAAGTATTTGTGGGAAAAACATTGACTGTTTTTGTCAGCGCTAAGAGATGACTTACAACTGCTTAGGTTTTTTTCAATTTGTTTGTTGTGCTTGCTCCTCTTACATAATGAACAGTGTTGTGAAATATTAACTGTATTAAAGCCTGTAAAGTGTAAAAAATTGAATGACTAGCACGTCACATGTGTCAAAAGGAGTTGCAGCCTGTGATAAAGCAGACATATTCCAGCAAAGTTACTGTATGCAAAATTTGGTTGCAATACAGTAACTGCAAACGGTGAAAGCTGCGTGCATAACTCTGAAAACAGACAAAAATTCCAATTTGAGAAAATGCGAATGAACGTTTAGATTTATGTGACATACCTAAATTCTCACTCAAATCACACAAAACTTGGTGGTAATATAGTTCCAAATGTCAGAGCCTGGACCACCCAACTAGAATTCCCCCGCTGCATAGCACAGCTCCAGAAAAAATGCCAGTCTCTTGCGTAGCGGCAGATTCCTGGACGGCGAGTTTGCACTTTCCGCAAGTCGAGCACGCCGCAGCACTGACGAGCTTCCATCGCGCCGATCTCGCCGATCACAGTACTAGCAAGCTCCCCATCTCCAGCTCTCTCTTTGTTTTCAAACGTCATGATCTTCTTCTCCGATGCACAAACAAACTCGTCAGCGCTGCCGATGAAACTCGAGCGATCAGACTTGGAAGTGTCGTCGCGTCGCCCCGACCAAGGTTAGGGTTAGCTGCCTTGGATGAACTTCTCTTCTATGAAGTTTTCCGCTTGCCCTTTTGGCGACTTCCTTTGAACGTGTGTATCGTCCGGAATTTCCGAGCTAGAGAAAGTCGCGTTTTCGGTCAACATCAATCGCGAAAAAAAGCAGAATGATCGAACAGGTCGTTGGTTCTAAAATCGCAAGCAAGCTTTGCCGCGCAGCACGCTGCTCTCGGCCAATGGTGGGGCCATAATCGCTTCACGTGATTGCAAAGTCCAGAGGCGATGCACGTTTGCAGCGGAAAAAACATTTATTTCTTATTGTTTGGAACCGGAATACGAAACTATCGACGACAGTTTCGGAATGAAAACGGCTAGGCCTATGTTCCGAAATAAACGCGATGGTGGGAGACGCCGCGAACCGAAGAATCACGTGCTAGAAAATGGCTCAGATTTGCGCCGTTTTCGATTGCGAGAAGGGCTTCAAACTCATATCTGACTAATTTCGCAATGATATCCGGTCTTGATTTTTTTATCCGCAAAAGAGGAAGGTCCAAAGATAAAATGCGGAAAAGTGCTCTGCAATGCTACTCACCACCACCCGACAGCCTCTTCCTGATTTGACAATCAGGAACAGCCCTATCACAAGGATGCAGCAAACAAAACTTTTGAGAGTCCAGACTTCATCCGCACCTTCATTTCCCCCCCCACATTGCTGAGGTGCTCTCGCGAGCGCGACGCATGCTGGGCTTCGAGCAACGAGTGTCAAGGGGGGCCGGCCCAAAGGCACTGCGTAGTTTACACACTGCACTAGTGCTCCCGCAACTTGAGTACTGCTCGTCAGTATGGAGCCCCAGACAGGTCACCGCAATTGCCTCACTGGAGAGCGTACAACAGTACGCGGCCTACGCTATCCTGTGTCGCCAATCACCGCCGCAGCCTGGTACCCCCAAACTTCTCGGAGGTGTGGGGTGGAACTGTCCGTCTGTCTGTAGGCAGGTGGCTTCGCTTTGCCTCCTAGTTTGCACGCTGGGTGGCCCTCCTACACTTCTTCTAGAGCATGTAAGGAAGAACCGCACTAGTAAGCTACAACCCCTCCTTGACGGACGGAGCGTCACAGAAGCACGCTCCTTCCGAGAGCCATCAAGCTCTGGCGCTCCCTCCCGAGTGAAGTTACACAAGGGACATTCAAAAACAAAGAGGACATAAAAGATTGATGCAAGTGTGCGACCCTCCATTTCAAAGAACTTTGATGTGACATTCGATCAGACCCAAATCCCAGTGTACAGGGTGTTTTGTTGTTTTTTTTTTTGTTTTTTTCTTCCTGCCAGTAGTTCTTTTTCTTGTATGTATGTGTGTGTGTAACGGGTACAGTAGGCCTCTATGGCATGGGCAATAGGCTTTTTACTGTCATCCGGGATTTAGAAAACCAAATAAAGCATTATTATTATTATTATTATTATTATTAAAAGGCAAAATCACTTTTTTCGATAAAAATTGCCGTTTTTCGACCCGCATCTTCCTAAAGGGCTAATGAAAAGAAAAATATGTTTTTTTTAAAGTCTCGTTGGAACACGTGTGTCAAAAAAGCAAGTGCATGCAAAAAGAAAATCTTTTTAAGTGCAATCATGACGGCGCTAGACACGATTTAGTCGGTAGTCACCTTCTTTCCACTTGTTTTCTCTCTTGGCTTTTCGGGAGTGTGTAGGAGAGGAGGATCAGCTTCGCCTTTACGTTGAGGTGGAAAGAGCAAAAGACCATCTATTTGAAATCGAAAGTGCAAATGACCATTCCACGACGTCATGGACTTTCACATATATTTTTTTTGGGAGCGAAGCTCCTTAGGATCTTGCCTTTTCCGGCGTCCGTGCTCACATCGATTCCACTGCCTCCGGGATCAGCCCACTTTTAAAAAAAATCTTACGCCCGCACCGGGGTTCGAACTCAGGACCGCTTGCTTACAAGGCGGACGTCTTAACCACTACGCTACACTCTTTTGTTTGTTTTTTCCGAACAGCTTATTTGCAATAATTTACAGGGTATGAGCATCAGAGTTCGGCAAATCGGTTAGAGGTTGGAACGGAAAGGGGAGAAGGGTAGGGGGTGCTGGTTGCAATGTGTATGCCGGAAGGGGGTGACGGTCTTGGATCTGGCCGCCGGCGCATCATCCCCCAGATGGTGTGACGGTTCCAGCCCCTCAGTGTGCGACCGGACTCTTCAAGCAGGTCCTCAAGCTCCCAGTCCCGGCGACAAGCAAGGACTTCTTCGTCCGGCTTCACCTCGGGGTACTGCCGGTCAAGGTGTGGCTGGACGACAGGGGGCTCTTTGTGCCATGGTCAACCAACTGCGACTTATGTGGCGCGAATGAGACGCTTCCACATGTTTGTGAAGTGCTCCAACGCCTATCTCTCCTGGGACGAGATGAGGAAGGATCTCGGCGTGGACTTTCCAATAGACTGGCACGTCTTTAGATACCTGGACGTCGAGGGGACAGATACGGCTTCGTCCATGGTACTCCCGTCCATGGTGCTCCTGGGGTTCCACACCATCAGGCTAGCCAGCTCATTCATGGTGGCATGCCACACCGATGCCAGGCCGACGTGGGCCTATTTTACCTCCCGGTGGAGATGGCCACTACGCTACACTCCAACGTTGCACGTAGCCACTCAACATATATACAGGAGAGGGCGCTGCGGTCAAATGCGTATATAATCGCGTTAAACTTTGCATGCATTGGCTGAACGTTTATAGACAAGAGGGTGCTGTGGTCAAATGCTCAACTGCGTATATAACCACGATCCATACCACACATTCTCTTTCTGACATGGACCGTTGACTTAAGCGGTGGAGACGCGTTCCCATGGTTTCTAGCGGATCCAAGCTGATCCGCTAGAAGAACTACTGGCTCTGCATGTCACCGACCATAAAGCACTAATAATGAAGTCGAAATGAATCCAGAACACAGCACTACCTATGAGCAATAAAAAAAAAAAAATCAGCACCATCAGCCCTACCTATGAACAATAAAATCAGTATCATCAGCACCACTAGAGCTTCGCCCCAATCAACATCATTCACCACGTGGCGATGCGTCCATTTTTTTTACACGCGTGTCCCAACCAGATTGTTTTAAAAAAATCTTCTTTTATAATTTTAGGGGCCCTTTTAAGTTCTGTTGAATAACATTTTCTACTAATAGAAAACTCGAGACCCAAGTATGCATCCGAGTACAATTGTTAGAGTACAGCAAGTCTATGAATATACATGAAGTATGCAGGCAAGCTGTTGGAAGTTTATCCTTATTTATTAGTTCTGTGGCACAGTGGATATGAATACAAACAAGGTGGTTCAATCAAATGATTTAGCTTATGGTGAACTCGCATCATCGCTCCTCTCCCCTGACCTTGATTCAGAAGAGCCTCTCGCCTCTGGCTCGAAGGCACGCTGGATCCTTCTTAGATGATGTGTTGGTCTCTGAGTGCTCTCAATTCAGTGAAAGCGGAAGTGACGGAAATGCTCACATCTTCCCTTTGCCCTCTGGATACCATTAGAATGACAAGTGTCACCGACTCCAAGCACCTGTTGCATTCCCTAATTCAAGGATCGACGCCACATGAGTAATATGAAGTACAAATTTATATTCTGTTATTTGCAGCTGTGTGCAGCAATTAAAGTGTTGGGGCTGGGATACCCGAATACGCACGCAAGCTACAGCAAACTTGAAACATTGAAGAAAACACTACAAAGTTTGTTTTCCTCAATCTGTTTCATTGCAAACAAAAAAGTAACAGCTACTTTCTAAACAGATAGCTATATATTTTCTCATTCTCCTAAAGCTATATATTTGTGTATGAGGCGCAAAAAGAAAAGTATTGAGAAACAAAAAAAATATCCCTACTTTTAGTCTTTCAAACCACGTTGCGCGAAATTTCAAAATGTCTTGTTATTTCGGGAGATTTGGTGGCCAGGTGCGTTAACTCAGCACAAGCGAAAAGGGGATTTGCAAATTAGAACAAGAACTAAACAAAACAAAATATATCACAGATCTACGAGGTCAAGAGACCATTCAGAAGATATTCCCCGCTCTCAATCGGCGAGGTCGAACCAGACATGACAGCAGAGGAGGAATTCTCGAGCACAACAAAATAGAGGGAGACTGTGAGGACATAACTGTCACCGAGGCCTACATCCAGAAAAACGGCAACAACGCTGTCATAGTTGAGGTAACTCCCCCCGTCTTCCAACAACTAAAGAACAGGGAAGAGATTATCATTGGGTGGACAGTGTGCCCTATCCGAGAAAACCTACACATTACAAAATGTAACAGATCTGCAAGCTATGGACATCCTACAAGGGCGTCCGAAAACCGAGAGTGCTGTACAGTGTGCAGGAGAACACATGGCAGCCCAATGTGGAGATCCTGTCAGGCGCTGTGCTACATGCATAGAAAGTAACAGTGAGTGGGGAACCACGCACAACATCGAACACAGTTTCGACAGCCAGTGCTGTGAACACCACAAGATTCAAATGAAGAGGTTAAAACAAAAAATACAATACACCTAATTCGGAACAGAGCGACGGGAAGGGGGAAACGAGAGGGGAAAAGAGGAGCCAATTAGAACTTACCAAATCTTCAAATTTACTTAACCAGACGCATAAGAGATCCTAATCAGACTAGACACATCTCCTGCAATGGCAAATTCTATTAACTTCATTCAAATCAATGCCAACCATTCATTTACAGCATCAGAACATCTTAAAATAAACCAACAGCTTGAATCACACATTACATGTATTCAAGAACCATATTACCTTAAAAATAAAATTATTGGATTTCCACTCACAGATTCCATCATTGCTCAACCGACCAAACCAAGAGTAGCCAGAATTATCCATCCTAAAGCGTTCGATAGATACACAGAATCTATCCAAAGAGACTATATAGCTGTTCGCCTATCGTCCGAAACAATCGACTGCATCCTAATCAATATCTACGCTCCACCACAGGACACTCTAAACCATACTCTATGCGGACTTGAGAAACCATTGTATAATTTTAGTTAAATTTTTATATGACTGCACAAATAAAGGTTAAAAGAAAAGAAAACCTCCAACAAAGCATACCATATTTTATAGAATGTTTTTACTTAACATTGACAGGATCACCTCACCAGCACAATACAGCTCAAGCCACCGATGCCAAAGGCATCAGAGTTCAACCACATCCTGCGACCGATTGTGCTTGCACAATTCTTCAGGCCAAGTCAGGGTTTGCACAGGATTCAAAGAAACACATTCAAGGGTTTTCAAGGAGTTTTAGGGGCATGTAAAGATATTTTCAAGGATCCCCCAACACTCGATCTTGCAAATTTACAATATAACAATGTTTTGAAGTGCACAGAGAAAATTCTTTACTGCACGATACCTAGGAAAGGCGCATTTGCCAAAGAGGTGCTAGTAAGGGTCCAGTCGAGCTTCTGCAGCTTTTCCTCGATTTTCTGGTTGATGTTTAGAAGTTCTTGCATTTTCGTTTTCACCATTTTCCTTAGGATGTTTGACTTGACAACATCGGTGATGTCACCTCAGAGGTCAGCCATGACCACTGAAAGTTGCATTTCCCAGGCACTGCGCACAACTTAAACTATGTCCACCATGCCAAGCGTAAAACAAACTCAAAACGGGCAAACCAGGACTAGCTAGCAAACACTATGCGAGAGAACCAGGAGAACGAGGGGCAAGATCGCCAATAGGTCAGTGAAGGTGCCCCGCACCCTTTCCACCTTTTTCGAGCAGCATCTACCTATTTTCGGCCATAGAAAAGTATTATCCGCTCCGAGCCGGCTGTAGCCGTGCTAAGCCTAACGTTTGGCTTACGATTCCAGAGTGCCGCAACAAGTGCAACCGGTTAGTCTTACAGCCACCAGTCGCCCTCCTCAGCCCTGCCGAGCCACCTGGCTGGTCATGTCGATGCCGTATCGAGTTATGGGGGAAAAAATCTCCGCCGAAGCTTTCATCAATGACTCAAGATGGGAGTGGGTGATCAAAGCCGCAACGTCGGCATTCCTAACCAGCCATTGACTTCGTCCGCGAAGCCGGCCCCAACTGCTCGAGTACCAGACGGCACCGCTACACCGGCTTCCGCCCCCGCACGTGCTCCATCAGAAGTTAAGAAGAATCTACAACACTCTCCGGTACCCGAGCTTCCGGAGAAAAACTTCAGGATCGTCTTTCGGCGAAGGGGTGGCCTTAACCTTCGTGATGTGAACGGCAGCGTGCTGCTACTGCTTACCCGCACGGCCTCGCTCCTCTTTTACGCTCGGTGGTTTATTAGGTTGTATTTACAATTTCTGTAAAATGCCGGCAAAAACCAGCATATCCGCTAACACGTCCGCCAACAAACACGTGCGCCCTAAGTTTCATAAGCCTATCAAATTCGACTTTAATATCATAAATTGAAAAAACAACCACCCACAAATATTACGGAAGACTACACTTGTACTTTCAATGTGACACTGCTCGTTAGCGGTGTTGGAACCGAGTTGAGTCGACCTGAAGTATGATAAAGGCCCACAGGCTGTTACGTAGAACAAAAGAGACAGCAGGCTTACCAGAGCCGAAAGGGGCCCGAAGTTGTCCCTCCCTGGTAGCCTATGTTTCACAAGTCCAACTCCACGTTGATCAGGTCTTGGATCCCACAGGACCCAACCTGGTCATTGGAGGGCAGCGTGGGTAAACTCGGTGGCATAGATTCCAGCATCTCCGACCCTCGTAGGCGGTCCGCACCCGGTGCAGCGGTGCCGAAGACTGTTCCCCGGGCCATTCGAGCGCCAAAACACCGGATGGCGTCAGGATGCTCTGCCGGGTCGTCAACGTGCCTGGGTTCGGCGACGCTGTCGGCCTCATCCCTGGCCCGGTGATACGGGAATCGTCGTGCTTCTTGCCGCTTGTTTTCGGGCCCCAGCAGGAAAGCAAAACACTTCCCCAGTTGAGGTGGACAGTGGGCGCTGCTGGCAGGCACTTCCATCTACACAATGCAGCCGTGGAAAGGCTGGGGAACTCTGTCAACACTGGTCCTCCCAAGGCCCTACCATGCGTAAAATCGTGGATGATCGGTGTCTTCCCAGGAGGTCTGGGTGGCCACTGAGAGCCCGGGCCAAGCAGACGCTGACGACAACGTCGGCAACTGCTCTCCTCCCGGCACGTTACGGCGACCCCCCTGACGGTAGGACGACTGACCTTCAGCCCGAGGACACCAGACGCTTCACGGTTGGCAATGCAGCGGCTGCTGGCCACCCCCTCTGATGGGACAGGCACTCTCCAAGAGCCACGGAACGCTCCTCTCTGCGAGCACAAAATTTCACGAAAAACTTTTAGAAGAGCTCGCTTCGAGGTGTCGACGAACAACCCGGTGCTTAAAGTTGGTCGTCGACACACCCGAAACAACGGGTTTGTCGATGTAACGTAAACGAGTTTCTTGCCGAGTAAGCATCTTTTATGATCTCCTCAAACACAACTTGAACGACGAAGTTAACGGATCGTTTGCACTACCCTCCAGTTCCAGTAGACATTGCATAAAATATATTGCACTGCAACTTTCGATGCATGGCTTTCACTGCCTCTGAAACTACAGTGTTTGCCACGTCGACCTCAAGAAACAGCCTTCATTAAGAGATGATGATAATGTTTAGAAGTTTAGAGGTACAGCTGCAACAAAGGTTATAGTTAGGATTCATATTTTCAGTTTATTTTTTGGCAAAATCAGAGGGTGCTTTTCGGGGTTCATTTTTTGCTCAAAATTTGGAGTTTATTACAGTTTATTTTTCTTTGATTCCCAATTACGCGGATTTCTGAGCTTAATTTTGCAGTGTTTGTATTAGAAAAATATCTGGGTATAAATTTGCACTAGATTAAAAAGAATGCGCTTCTATCGATTATTACTTCTTCAGCTGGATTTGGCGTAGGTGCCACTGCCATTTGCAATACTAATATGTTCCACGACAGAAGTTGCTAACAAGTGTTGCTTCAATAAATGTTGAAACCTTAAAGGAGCTGTGCAACGATTTTAACGTTGAAAGAATTGGAATCTTCTAAATTTTACACGGTTCACCTTGTCACAAAGGACATAAAACACACCTCCTTCCTTCAAAACGCTGTGATTCCACCGCGTAATCGCGAGGCAAAAATTAGAATATTCCCCGACCTGCAGCCATGAGCGGCGGCAATGAGAAACACTCGGCATGACGTCAATGGGGTCTTGTAGAAAGATAGCAAGTTGTGCGAATACCTGCTCGATAAAAGGTAACCTGTCAATAAATCTTGTCGTTCTAACATAAATATAAGTGCCTCAAAAACCTGGTATTATCGACAAAACTTTTATTATACGGAGTTTTAGTGGCGCCATCTATCCTAAGTCCACAAATCCACCCAGCCTCAAGCCACATGACCCCCACTGACGTCACAGCGCACGTGACCTGGAAGATGGTGAAGGGGTTGAGAGGTGCCGAAAACCTCAATCTTTGTTGATTTTTAAAATAGAAACTAGGACATGCTGGCAAAAGCATTTTTTTGTTCTTTGCTTCCGAAAGGTTGAGACACCAACTCCCAAATTATTTAAGTAAAGCACTGAAACTGTTGCACAGCTCCTTTAAATGCCAATAAACTCCTGAAGGCAGTCGCTAGAAACTCGTGTTGATCCCATCCTCCGTGGTGGAACTAACAGGTGGTTATTTGGAGCAGCTCGTGTAGCAAGAAAAAACGGCTTTTGGAGCAGATTCCCACTTTTGGGGCACACAATAGTTTTCATGTCAGAAAATTTTATGCAATCTCTTCAAAAGTTAACCCGTGGCAAAAACTGCAGTTGTTGGAATGTTGGGAGACTAAAGTGTGATACTTGGAGCCAACCTGGGCCTCTACAGATATTTATTTAATTATTGAACAATCATATGCCCGCAATTTTGTAGATGTCTCAATTAACCTATCAGGAGTACTGATGAAATCTTCAGTCTGTGTTTGACTTAAAAAGGTGTTCTTGGCTACTTGTAGAGGGATTGTATCACAATAAAGTAATTGTCGCGAGTTCAACATCAAACGGACACTTTTTTTGTTTAAAGTGTCTCGCACTGCCTTTGCTCGTATTCCACCTGCTGCTGTTCATAGAGCAGCTAAGCGGAGCGCATGGCTGTATTGTAGTAGGTGGGTTTACTCAGCTATGTACATAGAATGAGGTGAAGTGATGAGTCTTGAGTCAGCCCGAAGTCCAGCACGAGATGCAAAGCTCCCGCTCTCTTTGCGCTTTGTCGCCTTCGAACCGCCAGTACCCAACAATAGCTACTCTAAACAATCACAATGAGCAGTGCTAGTTATTCATTGCTATCAATGTGAGCACCGTTCGCACAAGAACCGATACTTCTTCGTTAGGCACGTGCAAATAATGGATTTTGGGTTTGAAACAAATTCATAGTGAATAGCGGTTTTGGCCGAATATTTCTTTAATCGAATATTGAAGAGTTGTTGTGCCTTTCTCCACACCTTTTGCTACTGTAACACCATGCTTAAAGGGGCCCTCCGGAGCGTTCTGCGGTGGTCTATTTATGGCGGTAACTCAATCTGCAGGCCCTAAGGACCCTAAAAATCATAAAATTACGGTAATGCGCAACAGATTTCCCTACTAAAATTGCTATCAAAATCCCCGGCACGCCCCCCTTTCTGAGATGACCCCGGAAAACGGGAGGGGCATCTCTTTACGCATCAGCCAATAGCAAGCAAAGGATGCCGGCGTCACTGCGCGTCACCAACGCCGCCGACCGCCGACCCGTGGAGGAATTTCTCGAACACGCGCGGACCGTCGTCAAGGAACCCGGACCTTGTGCTCGGCAGTCGTCATTCGTCGCACCGCACCGTCGCGCTGCTACTACAATACGCAGTCGCATCCCACAGATGACAAGAAAAAGTTTGACTCGTTGACGTGGAAGGATCGCAAAGCTGGCTTCGAAGTCAGGATCCACGGGAAGAAGGAACATGTGTCCCGCAAACGCACGCCTGCAGAGGCCCGGGAAGCAGACGAGCCGACGCGCCGACGCATCACCCCCTAGCAACAAGCTTGCGGAGAGAAAACATAGTTCGCTGGTTTTGGAGCAAAAATTGCAGACTATGTTTCCCTCACCACAATCAGTTTGCGTTTTTCTCAAGCTCTAATTTACAACAAGCTTAAAAAGTGTTGCAATAATAACATTCGCATTCCCCGCGAGACGCAGCATTTCCATTGCTCAAGTTTTAGCGATGGGCAGGGAATGGGGGATTGTCTTCCAAGAGAAAATAGTCCTGATATATTTCTTCTGCCATCTGCTTAATAAACGGTTTTGTAATCTAAAACTTTGTATACATATTAACTTGCACCTACTACGCAATATAACGAGCAATATAAAATTCACCTGAACTCGCAAGGCTGTTCCTAAGCTTGTAAATGTCCACTAATGAGCTCTGCAAAATTTAATCTAGCTATATTTACAGACTGTAGCGTCAGAACATCCAGTACCTACATTAAGATGGCAAGTAAACGACAGATGTTACATAAAATTAGACCTATAAAGGAGGCCAGCCATACCTAATTGAGGGGATTTATAAATCTTCCTGTATAAAAATATGTTTTTTTTTCAATTCTAAATTAAAAAAGGTTAAATAATGAACACAGGTTTTTAGAACATAGCTGTCTAACATAGAGACCTTTTCATTTTAGTAGTTGCCTCACCGGCGGAAAGAGGGTGCTGATGCATTCGGCGCCATTAGGCTGCTTCAATTTGGTTGGTGTCGGTTTCAACGTGAACACAGCTATGTTGCTGTTTTACGTTGTTTTTGCTTCATTTTGTGATCCGATTATTTTTCTTGTAGCACAAAACCAATGAAACAGTGGTATTGAGCCACTTTGAGGACTACAAGGTGTATTTTAGACTAAATTGCGGGCTTTCTTTACCAACTCCTTTGATGTATCTGATTATGGTCGGTTGCAAAACGTCTGTCTGATGTACAGGGAGGATTACAATCGTATGCAGCCATACCCAATGACACCAGTTTCCCGAAAAAAAAAAAAAAAACTAATGAAGAGACTAACAGGTGAATGTAAAGAAGGATATCGACAGCTTGATTAGCAATGTGCTGAATCGGCCAGAACAGATGAACTCCCGAGTTTACTACTCACCGTTTGGTTTTCGTGGGCACCCAACCTTCGAGCTTCACAGACTAAAAACATATTGTGTAATGACGCAGATAATTGATATAAACAAGTAGTACTATCTCGGCCTCTTTTATTTATTTTTTTTTAATTCAGTACTCGAGCATGTCTTGACAGGCCCGAATAGGAAATTTCTTAAATTAGCAACCCTGCTAAAGTACTCATAAGCAGCATTTCACGATATTTGCCCTAGCAAGTAAACTATTTTTATATGAACATTTGCTTACTCAAGATATAAGTGACAGGCCCATCAAATTAAATCAGGCATTTGTCTTCCATAAAATTGGCCAAATAAAATTAAAGGGCGCAGGAGGAGAAATACCTCAGAAAGTTTAGCTGAATTTTAGCGCTAGGAATCACTTCACGGACCTGTGTGAACAAATATGTATTTGTTTGAACAGATTCACTTTGTAAATTTCGGTGTCGCCAGCCACCAAAAGTAAACCTCTATTCGCCACCGACAATCCTGGACTCAAATAATTGTTATGCCAGACGGCTCCGATTTTCTTTTTCGTCAAATACTGTAGACCATAGATAACTAACAAAAATTAAAACAGCGTACTATTGCGCATGCTCTGAACCCAAACCGCATTTTGAATTTGCAAATAGAAACATTATTTCTTTGTGCACGCTATTCTAATACTCTCAACTGTTAAGTGTCTGTGGCAGTTTCTTACGCGAGAAGCTCCAATCTTTCTGTAAAAATAAATTAAATGGATGGCACTGGTTATCTAAATATAATTAATAAATCACTTAAAGGGTAACTCCGCTTCATTTTTGATATTTAGAAAACTATGTAGCCCTCTTCAGTATCATATAGGAAGACCCCATGTCAAATATTACGACCTAATTCCGTTTATATATTTAATAGACTGGCCAGCAAACCTTCAAGTGAGCCAAGTCGCCAAAATCTGCCAACTCCAGCGTGCGACGTGCGCAATCGTCAGCGCAGTCAATGCGACGGGGCTTGAGCGGCAAACGTTGAGCCACTACGTCAGAGGCGTCATTCTCACATTTTGTTTGTTTTTACTTCTCAGAGCGAAATTGAACAACGACGTCATGAATCTCTCCTCCCGGTGTAGGCTGACCGGGCCTTCACGTGATCACCGTAACG